CTCGGGTTTGGCATTCCACAAGGGTGTGAGGCGGCAGCCCATGCAGCTCGAGCCTTCATCGCCAACATCACAGACGAAAAGGCCCTTATCAAGCTAGATTTCAAAAATGCCTTCAATTTGGTGCGGAGGGATGCTGTACTCCGTGCGGTTCATAGTCATTTCCCTTCCCTCTACCCTTTTGTACATTCATGCTACAGTATGGATCTTAAGCTACTTTTTGGCGAACATGAAATTGACTCGCGAGAAGGCGTCCAACAGGGTGACCCCCTTGCTCCTCTCCTTTTCTGCTTAGTCATCAAACAAGTCACAGAGGTCCTGTCCAGCGAGCTTAACATCTGGTTCTTGGATGATGGTACCCTAGCTGGTTCCCAAGACTCCCTCCTGGAGGACATCAGAAAAATCCAGGAGCAAGGTGCAGTTTTAGGCCTCACCCTGAACCCTTCTAAATGTGAAATAATATGTTCCAACCAGGGCATCGTAGAGAGAATAGAGGGTCTTCTGCCAAATATCCATAAAACTAAACCTGAAGACAGCACACTCCTAGGAGCTCCCCTGGGGTTGAAAGCCATCGATGAGGTCCTTGATAAGAAAATCGCCGACCTTAAGAGGATGGATGGGAGGATTGAGGATATTGATGCTCATGATGCACTCTACCTCATCACCAGATGTCTGTCCCTCCCCAGGTTAACCTACTTTCTGAGGTGTTCACCATCTTACAGTAGCCAAAAACTAAGTGAGTATGACCGGTTACTGAAATCAATGCTAGAAAAAGCCCTTAACCTCTCTCTCGATGACCTACAGTGGAAACAAGCCTCTCTTCCCGTAAGACTTGGGGGCCTCGGAGTTCGAACAGCAACGCAAATCGCTGTTCCAGCCTTCCTGTCCTCCTTATCAGCATCCGACGACCTTGTGAAGGAAATTCTACCTGCCCACTTACATCAGCTGGCAGGTGTACATGATCCCAATTTTACACGCTGTGCCACAGAGTGGGCCTCTCGTGCAGGCCAATCACCTCAACCACCATCCCCAAAAGCCCACAAGCAATCCAGCTGGGATGGCCCCATTGTAGACCAAGTTGCTGCAGAGTGCCTGGGTGCTGCAACAACACAACACGACATTGCTCGCCTCACAGCAGTAGCAGCACCACATGCAGGGGATTTCCTGTTAGCAACCCCAATGTCGGCAACTGGCACGCGTCTCACACCACACGCCCTCCGAATTGCTGTGGCCCTCCGCCTTGCTGCCCCAATCCACACCAGATATAGGTGTATTTGCGGCGAGGTGGTGGCTGACAGGTACGGCCACCATGGCCTACTCTGCCAAAGCACAGGGGGATGGCACTCGAGGCACAATGAAGTTAACGACATCATCAAGAGGAGCCTCACCACAGCTGGATGCCCAGCTGAAAGAGAGCCCCGTTACCTAACGCCCCGTAACTCTGATGCTCTTATTGGTCGCCCGGATGGTATCACAGTGAACCCCTGGAAGAATGGCAAGCAGTTGGTATGGGACTACACGTGCGTATCAACCCTGGCTAACACCTACATTAACCTCAGTGTTGCACAACCAGGTGGCGCTGCCACCCACAGGGAAGCAGCCAAATCCCGTAAGTATAGTGAACTGGATCACCACTACAATTTTGTCCCCATTGCTTCTGAGACACTCGGCGCCTGGGGTAAAAGTGCTACCAGTTTTTTGAAGGAACTGGGTTCTAGGCTCATTGAAACAACAAGGGACCCAAGAGCTGCAAGCTTTCTTTTCCAGCGCCTCAGTGTGGCGATACAGAGGGGAAATGCGCACTGCATCCAGGGTTCCTGCCCGCCATCTGAGGAGCTGGAGGAACTCGACAACCTATGATAACCATCTTTGTAACCCATATGTAACTCCTTTTTTGTAACAAAGTTCAAATAAAGTAAATATATATGTGTACATACAAAAGAATGGGGGTGGTAGGAGAAGATAATATTAGTGTTCAGTGAGAAACCACAAGGTCTCCTCTGAATACTTTTTATTTTCTTCTCCGAGGCTATGGGTCCCCACATTGGCACCAGAGGTGGTACCCTCACAAACTTTTATATATATATATATATATATATATATATATATATATATATATATATATATATATATATATATATATATATATATATATATATATATATATATATATATATATATATATATATATAGCCATATATATATATATATATATATATATATATATATATATATATATATATATATTATTCAAGGCCCGATTTGCCTAATAAGCCAAGTTTTCATGAATTAATGTTTTTTCGTCTACCTAACCTACCTAACCTAACCTAACCTAGCTTTTTTTGGCTACCTAACCTAACCTTACCTATAAATATAGGTTAGGTTAGGTTAGGTAGGGTTGGTTAGGTTCGGTCATATATCTACGTTAATTTTAACTCCAATAAAAAAAATTGACCTCATACATAGAGAAAAGGGTTGCTTTATCATTTCATAAGAAAAAAATTATAGTAAATATATTAATTCAGGAAAACTTGGCTTATTAGGCAAATCGGGCCTTGAATAGTAGGCTGAGAAGTGAGTTCTGGCTACTAGGTACGACATATATATATATATATATATGGTAATTGAAATATCAAATCTCCAAAATTCATTTTCATTTATTTATGGTATGACGCCTGAACGTGCTTCGCAATTCGTATTACATTTTCAAAGATTTCGTATTACATTTTCACATAAAATTCATCGTACTTATTCTCGTTTTGGGTGAAGTGATATTTCACAAAAGGTTTGGGTGAGGTGACAAACACAAGACGGAAAACAAAACAATGGGTATAAATTAGGTATGAAAGCATAAGAATGGAAGTAACTGCAGAAGGCTTATTAGCCCATCCCTCCTCTTCCTGCTTCTATGTTGGTTCGGGGTCTTGAAGTGGGTAGAATACAGTTGTGCATTAATTAGCTGTTAATTCCTGGTGTTGATTTTTTGATGCGTAGTGCCTCGCAGATGTCGAGCCTCCTGCTATCGCTGTATCTATCGATGATTTCTGTGTTGTTTGTTAAGATTTCTCTGGTAATGGTCTGCTTGTGAGAAGAGATTATATGTTCCTTGATGGAGCCCTGTTGTTTATGCATTGTTAATCGCCTGGAAAGAGATGTTGTTGTCACATGTAACATGTGAGGTATGGGAGTGACGTAGGCGACTCGGAGTTGGCCCCAGTGCCACACTCTAAGTAATATTAGTATTTCTTACATAAGGTAAGAAATTTCACCCTGATGCCCCTGTTACATAGCAGTAAATAGGTACCTGGGAGTTAGTCAGCTGTCACGGGCTGCTTCCTGGGGGTGGAGGCCTGGTCGAGGACCGGGGGCCGAGGACCTTCTTCTCTCAAGAAGAAGGTTAGAAGTATTGAAATCTGCAACCAAATATCCGTAGAGTTTAGCGTTTGTTTAAATATTACTGTAATCAGACACTGGAATATAAAACGAATGTTCAGATGACAGCTTTGCCTTCTGGACACAATTTGTTTATTACAGTGATGAAGTAACCCATCCTACTGTTTAGATAGTACTCATTGTAACTGTGTGGACCCTCATGTATATATTGTATATATACTGACGTATAGACAAATAGTAGAATTTGGTACTATTCACTTTATACTGACTTGCGGAAAATAAAGCTAAAAGTCAAACTTAAATATTGCTAGGCCTAGTTTAGCACTTAAATGTACTATATTAGGCCAGAGATAGCATGAATTAGGCTCAGGATGGTAAGGTTTCATTAAGAACATATATACAACGGTTAGTCCAAATTCAGTAGTACCAAATTCTATTTTCCTAATCGTTCATTACGCCAATATATTCACGTTCATCCACATTGTTGCACTGTGTTTACAAGCAGTATCTAAACAAGAGGAGGAGGTGGATGGGCAGTGGACATGGCTACAGTGATAGATGGGATATATATGGAGAGAATGGCTTGGAGGATATGGAGGGATGGTGTAAGTGGGGATAGGTATTGTGTGATAGTGTCAACGGAGGGAGGGAGTGAGTTATCAGGGGGAAAACGCCAAGCCGTTAGACTATATAGCACTTGGAAGGGGTCATGAAAAGGATTTGGGATGGGTCATAGGGAAGGAATGGTGCCCAACCAATTGTGGACGGTCGGGGATTGAACACCGACCTGCATGAAGCGAGACTGGTATGGTGATTGAGGGGAGTGACAGTGAGGTTGGGGAAGTTTTTTTTTAGATTGGAAGGGTGAATATGGAGGAGAAGGGAAGGGAGTGTATGAGGGGAAGATGGGATTGGAGTATGGGGAGGGAGTGTATGTGGGGAAGATGGGTAGGTAGTGTGTGTGGGGAAATTGGGGAGGGAGTGTGTGGGCAGAGACGAAGGGGAGTTCAATAGATTCTTACAGTGATGAAGAATGTGAGTAGTGAAAATGGTTACAGTGATGTGACGAAGAAGGAAAATGCTTTGGAGGGTTAACAGAGAAGGTGTGTGTCTTGGAATGATCGGTGTACATGGATGGAAACCACGGGAGTGTATGTGGGCCGAGATGGGGAGGGAGTGAGTGGGAAATGGGGGAGGGAGTGAGAGGGAGATAGGGAGGGAGTGTTTACCAGACGACACCTGGAAGGGTACCTGACCATACAGGTACCCCCTCCCCCTTCTACTAACCAATAATCTCAAGAACCTATTTCTGGAGATCACAAACTCTACTTGCTCTTCTATTATCAAATTATCTACCACGACATGAAATTGTGAATAATAAAATAGCCTGATATATTATCCTTTTTACAATAGTATATGGTTAAATAGATTCCAATTTATACTAAACCTTGTGTGCATTATGCATCACCTATGGGTCCAGACTTTGCACCACTCTGATATATATTATATAGTTATATACATGTAAAGATGTAAAGATCAATAATTAAATTCATGTAAATGAAAATTAGACATTTGAGTGTAACTGACACTTGTCCTAAACTTAATTTCAGAACAACAATCTACTTTCTCTGGGGGTTGTCTTCTTGGCTTCGAGTGTCCATGGAGGCGGCGCTGGAGGTAGATACCACGGCCTCATCCCCGGCAGGGTACCACCAGCAGGAGGAAGCGGAGAACATAGCAGCTTTATAAACCTTCGACCCGAAGTCACAGGACGCAGCAACTCTGGACATGGGATACTTGCAAATGGAAATCCTCAAAGATCCTCGACCACTGGAGAATGCTGTGTGGATTCGCCAGCGGTTGATGTGTATGGTGGGAATAGATACGTAGAATCCCACAGATATGAAGATTTTCCTGGTGGAGGACACACAGGCTTTCAAGGTGGACATAGTGATGCTGTTCTCTCAGGTGTCCACAGTGCTTCCTTAGGTACTGGTGGACATACTAGACCAATTGAAGAACACAGTAGCCTCATTAAAGGTCACAGTAGCTCATTCGGTGAACAAAGTGTCCTAATTGGACGACACCGTGGATCATTTGGAGAACACAGTGGCCCTATTAAAGAGCCCAGCGGTACATTTGGAGGGCATGGTGGCCCAAATGTAGGACATGGTGGCCCAATAGGAAGACAAAGTGGCCCAACTGGTGGACACCCTGGCTCAACTGGAAAGCAAAATGGCTTCCTCGGTGGCCATAGTGGCTCCTCTTCTGGTAGGAATGATGGCTCCCATTTTGGTGGTCATGGTGCCTCCCTTCAGGATGGAAATTCTGGCTCCCTTGGAGATAGACATGGTCGTTTCCGTGGTGATAGAGAACACGACCACTCCTTTGGTCGTGGCTCCCACGACCCGTCGTCCGGTTCTGGAAGATACGAGCCCTCTGGTGGTGGCGGGCATGATAACACCTTTGGTGGTGGCAGACATGATAACACCTTTGGTGGTGGCAGACATGATAACACCTTTGGTGGTGGCAGGCATGATAATACATTTGGTGATAGCGGGCATGATAACAGCTTTCGTGGTGACAGGCATGATAGCACATTTGGAGGTGGCGGGCATGATAACACATTTGGAGGTGGCAGGCATGATAGCACATTTGGTGGTGGCAGGCATGATAACACATTTGGAGGTGGCGGTCATGATATATCACATGATGGACCTGCCGGGTTTCTTGGAGATGTTACACACAAAACCATCCCAGACGGTGGTCAGAAACTCTCCAGTGATGGTGTCTACAAAACGTCCTTTGCTGGTAAACACAAACCTTCCTTTGGTAATGAGCCCAAAAGCTCAATTCGTGGTGGGGTCAAGTCATCCCTTGGGAGCGAGGTCAAAAGCTTCCTTAATGATCGACAGAAAAGTTCCCTTACTAGTGACATTATTCAGCCCGAGGGCAGTAGACAGAGTCGTTTCCTAAACGTTAAACAGTCCGACTCTGCTAATGGTAGACCCAAAGGCTCTCAAGAAGAAGTGAGGGATTCGCTTCACGGAGGACGTAGTAGGTCCTACGATGGTAAATACAGTAGCCGCAATGGTGATGGTTTTAGTCGCTTTTCCAGTGGGCGGCGAGGAGGGGCAACAGCATCTGTGTACTTTAACTTTGGTCCATTCCGGGGTAGACATGGCACAGAGGGTTCAAAATCTGGTCATGGAGTGACTAGCTCTTCTAGAAGCAGTGGTACATTGTCTGGTCATGGAGTGACTAGCTCTTCCAGAAGCAGTGGTTCTTTCTCTGGTCATGGAACGACTAGCTCTTCCAAAAGCGGTGGTTCATTGTCAGGTCATGGAGTGACTAGTTCTTCCAGAAGCGGTGGTTCATTGTCTGGTCATGGAGTAACTAGCTCTTCCAAAAGCGATGGTTCATTGTCTGGTCATGGAGTAACTAGCTCTTCCAAAAGCGGTGGTTCATTGTCTGGTCATGGAGTAACTAGCTCATACAGAAGCAGTGGTTCTTTCTCTGGTCATGGAGTGACTAGCTCTCCAAGAAGTGATAGTTCATTCTCTGGTCATGGAGTAACTAGCTCTTCCAGAAGCAGTGGTTCTGTTTCTGGTCATGGAGTAACTAGCTCTTCCAGAAGCAGTGGTTCTGTCTCTGGTCATGGAGTAACTAGCTCTTCCAGAAGCGGTGGTTCATTGTCTGGTCATGGAGTGACTAGCTCTTCCAAAAGCGGTGGTTCATTGTCTGGTCATGGAGCGACTAGTTCTTCCAGAAGCAGTGATTCTTTCTCTGGTTATGGAGCGACTAGTTCTTCCAGAAGCAGTGATTCTTTCTCTGGTCATGGAGTAACTAGCTCTTCCAGAAGCGGTGGTTCATTGTCTGGTCATGGAGTGAATAGCTCTTCCAGAAGCGGTGGTTCTTTCTCTGGTCATGGAGTGACTAGCTCTTCCAGAAGCAGTGGTTCATTGTCTGGTCATGGAGTGACTAGCTCTTCCAGAAGCGGTGGTTCTTTCTCTGGTCATGGAGTAACTAGCTCTTCCAGAAGCAGTGGTTCTTTCTCTGGTCATGGAGTGACTAGCTCTTCCAGAAGCAGTGGTTCATTGTCTGGTCATGGAGTGACTAGCTCTTCCAGAAGCAGTGGTTCATTGTCTGGTCATGGAGTGACTAGCTCTTCCAGAAGCGGTGGTTCTTTCTCTGGTCATGGAGTAACTAGCTCTTCCAGAAGCAGTGGTTCTTTCTCTGGTCATGGAGTGACTAGCTCTTCCAGAAGCAGTGGTTCATTGTCTGGTCATGGAGTAACTAGCTCTTCCAGAAGCAGTGGTTCATTGTCTGGTCATGGAGTGACTAGCTCTTCCAGAAACGTCGTCGCAGCTGGTGGCAGTATTCGTGGCCTAAGACTCAGAGGAAAGGTTTCAGGAGCTATTGCAGGCACTATCAACACGGTAACTGCTGAAGGTAGCCACACTGATCCAGCTTCAGAAGGCTATCTTGCAGGAAGACACGGTGGTCCGGGAGGAATCACCAACGGACATACAAGAACGCCGACAGGCTATAGTACTGATGCAGCATCGGGAAGGGAAGTCGGTGGTCTTGGAGGAGGGCCTGAAGAAGCTATCGTCGGTGGACACGGAGGTTCTTCAAATGTCAACAGTGTCGAAAACGTTTCCGCTGATGGTCAAGATGTTCTTGGTGTTGGACGCGCGCAGCAAAGCAGGAACGGGCATGAAAAGTTTTCAGATAGCAATGGTGTAGGTGAAGACCTCAGAGAACGACAAATAGGGGCTATCATTGACGGCCTCGGAAGCTTTCCAGATCGCTATATTGCACTTGGAATTCTTGGTGGAGGACAAGGGAGCTCTGCCATCAGTGTTATTGATGCCTCAGCTGGCTACAATACGGATGAACATCTTGCCGGAGGATTGGCAAGCATTTCTGTGAATGACGTCCAAGGAGGATTTTCAGGAGGAGACGCAGGTGGTGGACATGATGAGTCAAGCACCAGTGGCGATGGTGTACGTGGAAGACTCGGGAGTGTATTAGTAACTAATCATGGAAGTCCTGATGGAAGTTTCGACTTTTAATTTGTCACAAATTCACCTCTCATTCACATATCATTCTGTGCTACATAGTCTTCCCGACTTGGCTCCTTTTTTTCATAATTACTTACATATCATTCTGCAGCCTCCATTGATAACCGAAATAAAATATAGTTATTATACCTTCTGTGTATATAATGTTCCACATGGAAATAAGAACATGATAGAGACAAAAAAAAAATTCTTCAAAAGAAAGCACTGATAAAAATATCTTTCTCGCATAATATTAAATTTTGTTTATATAAATATTATTATGTTAAGGAATAAATACAAAATGCGAGTTACAGTCACTATGACAATTGTTGTAAATAAAATGAAAAGTGTTGTAAATGATGGATGTTGATGTTTATCTGTTAACAGAAACTAATTTAGACTTATAGGTGAAATTTTGTTTAGTACAATATATTAGTACTGATAAATATAATAAGTAACAAGTAAAATCATTATTAAGAGAGCTGCGAGAAGAGTGAGTCAGGGAAGGAACGGGTCTGATGCAATGAACAAGGAAGAACAAGTTTGCAACGCCAGATGTTGCAAAAAGGAGCATTAATATTCACATTATGTACCGAGACATGACGTGGGTGTGTCATGAATTGGAGGGGAAAATTACAAGAAATAAAAACAATTTCTAATAAAATCTGAAGATTTTAGAAGTTTTTGGCGTTAGGGTGAGGAGCCAGATATTAATCATCAGTGGATTTAGAGTTAATTGGAGGCAAGCTGTGTAACAGTTCGATGTTATATGACACGAGAACTCACTCACTCGCTCACTCGTTTGTGCTCTCTCTCTCGGGTTGCCATTTAACTGGCTCCGATATATTTCAAGCACCGGTTGATCTGATTGCTTGCCTCATGATTAACCTAAACAACAGGTTTCTTTACCAATGTTATGGAATACAAGTCTAATCTGAGAGTTTATCCAGATCATATACGTATAATCCAGAGCTTGGTTCTTGTGATACCCTCTCCCAGAAGTCGCAGGAGTCTCGCAGGAGTCGCTGGAGTCTTATAGGAGTCTCCCAGAGTCACAGAAGTCTCTCATCAGTCGCAGAAGTCTCCTAGGAGTCACAGAAGTCTCCCTGGAGTTGCAGGAGTCTCCCAGGAGTCTCCCAGAAGTCGCTGGAGTCTCATAGGAGTCGCAGGAGTCTCCTAGGAGTCACAGAAGTCTCCTAAGAGTCACAGGAGTCTCCCAGGAGTCTTTCAGGAGTCACAGGAGTCTTTCAGGAGTCTCCCAGGAGTCAAAGGAGTCTTTCAGGAGTCACAAGAGTCTCCGAGGAGTCTACCAGGAGTCTTCCAAGAGCAACAGGAGTCTCTCAGGAGTCAAAGAATTCTCCCTGGAGTCACAGGATTCTCCCAGGAGTCGCAGGAGTCTACCAGGAGTCTCCTAACAGTACAAGGAGTCTCTTAGGAGCCACAGAAGTCTCCCTGGAGTCACAGGAGTCTCCCAGGAGTCGCAGGAGTCTACCAGGAGTCTCCCAAGAGTACTAGGAGTCTCTCAGGAGTCACAGAAGTTTCCCTGGAGTCACAGGAGTCTTTCAAGAGTCACAAGAGTCTCCCAGGAGTACCAGGAGTCTCGCAGAAGTCACAGGAGTCTCCCTAGAGTCACTGGAGTCTCGCAGAAGTCACAGAAGTCTCCCAGGAGTCGCAGGAGTCTCCCAAGAGTACCAGAAGTTTACTAGGAGTCACAAGAGTCAACCAGGAGTCACAGAATTCTCCCAGGAGTACCAGGAGTCTCCCAGGAATCACTGGAGTCACTCGGGAGTCACCGAAGGGTCACAAGAGTCTCCCAGGAGTACCAAGAGTTTACTAGGAGTCACAGGAGTCTACCAAGAGTCACAGAATTCTCCCAGGAGTACCAGGAGTCTTCCAGGAATCACAGGAGTCTCCCAGGAGTCACAGAAGTGTCACAGGATTCACAGGAGTCTCCCAGAAGCACCAGAAGTTTACCAGGAGTCACAGGAGTCTCTCAAGAGTCACGTGAGTCTCCCAGGAGTCACAGGAGTCTCCCAGGAGTGACAAGAGTCTCCCAGGAGTCACAGAAGCCTCCCAGGAGTCGCAGGAGTCTTCCAGGATTCACAGGAGTCTTTCAAGAATCGCATGAGTCTCACAGGAGTCGCAGGAGTCTTTCAGGGGTCACAATTGTCTTCTAGGAGTCGCAGGAGGCTTCCAGGAGTCTCTCAAGAGTACCAGGAGTCTCTCAGGAGTCACAGAAGTCTCTCTGGAGTCACAGGAGTCTCCCAGGAGTCGCTTGAGTCTAACAGGAGTCTCCCAAGAGAACTAGGAGTCTCCCAGGAATCACAGAAGTCTCCCAGGAGTCACAGGAGTCTCCCAGGAGTCACAGGAGTCTTTCAAGAGTCACAAGAGTCTCTCAAGAGTACCAGGATTCTCGCAGAAGTCACGGGAGTCTCCCATGAGTCACAGAAATCTCCCAGGAGTACCAGAAGTTCACTAGGAATCACAGGAGTCTACCAGGAGTCACAGAATTATCCCAGGAGTACCAGGAATCTCCCAGAAATCACAGGAGTCTCCCAGGAGTCACAGGAGTCTTCCAGAAGTACCAGAAGTTCACTAGGAATCACAGGAGTCTTCCAGGAGTCACAGAAGTCTCTCTCAGGAGTCACAGGAGTCTCCCAGAAGTCACAGAAGTCTCCCATGAGTCACAGGAGTCTCCCAGGAGTCACAGAAGTCTCCCGGGAGTCACAGAAGTCTCCCAGGAGTCACAGGAGTCTCCCAGCAGTCACAGGAGTCTCCCAGGAGTAACAGAGTCTCCCAGGAGTACCAGACGTTTATCAGGAGTCACAGGAGTCTAACAGGAATCACAGGAGTCTCCCAGGAGTCACAGGAGTCTCCCAGAAGTCACAGAAATCTCCCAGGAGTCACAGGAGGCACCCATGAGTCACAAAAGTCTCGCAGGAGTCACAGGATTCTCCCAGGAGCACCAGAAGTTTACCAAGAGTCACAGGAGTCTCTCAGGAGTCTCCCAGGAGTCACAGGAGTCTCTCAGGAGTCACAGGAGTCTCCCAGGAGTCACAGGAGTCTCCCAGGAGTCACAGAAGTCTGCCAGGAGTCACATGAGTCTCCCAGGAGTCACATGAGTCTCCCAGGAGTCACAGAAGTCTCTCAGGAGTCGCATGAGTCTCCCAGGAGTCACTGGAGTCTCCCAGGAGTCACATGAGTCTCCCAGGAGTCACAGAAGTCTCTCAGGAGTCGCATGAGTCTCCCAGGAGTCACTGGAGTCTCCCAGGAGTCACATGAGTCTCCCAGGAGTCATATGAGTCTCCCAGGAGTCACATGAGTCTTCCAGGAGTCACAGAAGTCTCCCAGGAGTCACATGAGTCTTCCAGGAGTCACAGAAGTCTCCCAGGAGTCACATGAGTCTCACAGGAGTCACAGGAGTCTCCCAGGAGTCACAGGATAATTTGCCATCAGGCCACATGACATTTCATTTAAGGTAAGGAATCGTTTATAATATTGAAGTTACCGACCCATACATTTTGTCATACATAGCTCATTGTAATTGCAGGCAATATGTATACATATGTACATAAATACATACATATATACACACACACACACACAGACACACACAGACACACAGACACACACATACACACACACACACACACACACACACACACACACACACACACACACACACACACACACACACACACACACACACACACACACACACACACACACATTGGGGGCCTCGTAGCCTGGTGGATAGCGCGCAGGACTCATAATTCTGTGGTGCGGGTTCGTTTCCCGCACCAGGCAGAAACAAATGGGCAAAGTTTCTTTCACCGTGAATGCCCCTGTTACCTAGCAGTAAATAGGCACCTGGGATTTAGCCAGCTGTCACGGGCTGCTTCCTGGGGTGTGTGTGTGTGTGTGGTGGGTGAAAACAAAAGTACTTAGTAAACAGTTGATTGACAGTTGAGAGGCGGGCCGAAAGAGCAAAGCTCAACCCCCGAAAACACAACTAGGTGAATACACACACACACACACACACACACACACACACACACACACACACACACACACACACACACACACACACACACAAAATTAAGAGGAGGATTGATACTGAGGACGATAGTAGGAGGCTACAAGATGACCTAGACAGACTGAGTGAATGATGCAACAAATGGCTGTTGAAGTTCAACCCGAGTAAATGCAAAGTAAAGAAACTGGGCAGTGGAAACAGGAGGCCAGATACAGGATACAGAATAGGAGATGAAGTACTCAATGAAACGGACAGAGAGAAAGATCTAGGAGTTGATATCACACCAAACCTGTCTCCTGAAGCCCACTTAAAAAGAATAACGTCTGCGGCATATGCGAGGCTGGCTAACATCAGAACAGCGTTCAGGAACCTGTGTAAGGAATCGTTCAGAATCTTATACACCACATATGTAAGACCAATCCTGGAGTATGCGGCCCCAGCATGGAGCCCGTACCTTGTCAAGCACAAGACGAAGCTGGAAAAAGTCCAAAGGTATGCTACTAGACTAGTCCCAGAACTAAGAGGCATGAGTTACGAGGAAAGGCTGTGGGAATGTACCTTACGACACTGGAAGACAGAAGAGTAAGGGGAAACATGATCACAACCTACAAAATCCTCAGAAGAATCGACCGGGTAAACAAGGAAAAACTATTCAACACTGGTGGGACGCGAACAAGGGGACACAGGTGGAAACTGAGTACCCACATGAGCCACAAAGACGTTAGAAGGAACTTTATCAGTGTCAGAGTAGTTAACAGATGGAATGCATTAGGCAGTGATGTGGTGGAGGCTGACTCCATGCACAGTTTTAAATGTAGATATGATAGAGCCCAGTAAGCTCAGGAATCTGTACACCAGTTGATTGACAGTTGAGAGGCGGGACCAAAGAGCCAAAGCTCAACCCCCGCAAGCACAAATAGGTGAGTACAAATAGGTGAGTACACTGTTATGATCTCAGCCTGCAGGAGAAACGAGT